AAAAAAAAAAAAAGTCAAGGAAAAAATGGTTGTATCAGTATGATTACCCATCCATAATATTTATTATTGCTTGTGTTACTGCAGATCCGGATGGAGGCGGTGGTCCACACATTCGACGGCCATTACTCAATTCCGTATAAATTATATCACTGCCGCTATACATTTTGGATGTATATCTGTGAAAATCTTCTAATGTTAAAATACCTCCTGAAACCAAAGAAAAAAAAAAAAACAAGACGGAAAACAAAAAAAAGTTAAGTTTGCTAAAAACTAATCAGATATGAAAGAGCGTCAAATATATAATGTTTAAAAAAATTACCATTTCTCTGTATTTCATTTGCCATTGTTTCAGTAAAAGAACTATTGTAGAATAACTGTTGCGGATTTGACGAATTGGCTAGTTGTTTTAGAAATTCAGATAACTTTGTTCTATAGTACAGAAAACTGTTACAATAATGTAAAAAATTGTGAGAAGAAATAAAAAATAGAAGTTATTTTTTTTTTCTGATTACAATATTCAAATAATTTTATGAATTCTTTCAGTCAGCTAAATACCAACAATTTTTGGTATAGTTTTGTTTTTCTTCTTCTTCTATTTTAAAAGAAACAGTACATTTGAAAATAGAAAGTTCTCATTGTATTACCGGGTTTTAATTTGTTCGCCATGTGCATACACTTTGCCAGTAAGTGGATTAATAAATGGTTTCATTGTTGGCTCATTGTAAATCCATTCACTGGTATCGTTCAATGCTTTTGCCAGCACATATGATGTTGGATAACCTAAAAACTAAGTTTTCATAGAAATTCTTAAAACAAAAGAAAGCTGTTCAAAAAAGCAATATTATTTTTTTGCCTTTTTTTTCCTCTTTTTTATTTTCTTATAAAACTATCTATCTTCTTTGTCAGTTTTTTTTTTTCTTGTACTTTTTTCCTCTTTTACAGTCATTTTAGACAAACTAAGAAAAAGTAGCTAATAAGCAGTGTTACGTTTTTGCAGCTTATTTTTATTAGCTGTTAAATGAAGTCTAATTTTGTAATAAGGTTGAATTGGATTTTTTATATTACTTTATTCAGAATTGCGCATAACAGAGCTGCTAAAGACTTCTTAGAACTTTAGCGTTCTTTTGTGTTTTCAAATATTCAAAAACAGAGCTATAAGAATTTGAGAAGATTTATCTAAGAAGTTACCAAAAAGTTATAAAGTATTAGTAGCGGAATAGTATCTGTTAGTATTTGTTAAAAATATCATTTTTCTCCTTTGGATGTAATTATGCAAAAAAAAAATTTTTCTTGCTGCTATTAAAAGTAGCTGCATTTTTTAGGTTTAAAAAATTATATACAGGAAAAGAACTAAAATTTTTTCAGTTTTATATTTATCCATCTTTTTCTTGACACCAAAAAAATTATCTTAAAAAAGGAAAAAAAAACAAAAACAGCATTGGTGACAGCAGTGTATATTTTTATGTGATTTGGTGACGGTCCAAAAAAGATAAACATTAGAAAAATATTTCATAAATTATATTATATTCTAAAATTTGTTGTTTTAAAGAGACTTTTGATCATTATACATGTATTTTCTTTTTTTTTAAATTTTTATAAATAATTATTTGTAAATT